TTAAAAATAAAGGCTAGGGGCCAGAGCTATGGCGTAACAGGTAAAGCCACCCCCTGCAGTGCCGCATCCCATATGGTGCCAGTTTGAGTCCTGGCTGCTCCACTTCCTATCCAGCTCTCTGCTGTGACATGGGGAAGCAGTGGAAGATGGCCCAAGTCCTTGGACCTCATACACAAGTGGGAGACCCAGAGGAAGCTCCTAGCTTCTGGTTTCGTATTGGCATAGCTCTGACCATTGTGGCCATCTGGGAAGTGAACCAGTGGATGGAAGACCTCTCTCTCGCTCTCTCTGCCTCTGTCTCTCTGTAACTCTGCCTTTCAAATAAATACATAAAGCTTTTAAAAATATAAATAAAGTCTAATTTAATGGAGGGTGTGTGGTGCCTCAGTTAGGTCACCACTTGGGATGTCTGCACCCCGTGTTGGAGTGCCTGCTTTAAGTCTTCAGCCACTGTCCTTCCAATTTATCTTCCTGCTCAACAGTACCCTTGGAGGCAGCAGATGATGCCTCAATTACTTGTGTACCTGCCACTCAGGGACCAACCCAGTAGGGAGTTCTGAGCTTCTGACTCCAGCCTACCTGGCTGTTGCAAACATTCGGGAGCAAACCAGGAGATGGAAGATCTCTCTCTCTCTCTCTCTCTCTCTCTCTGTCTTGCAAATAAAAATGAAAATAAATAAAAATTTTGTCTGAAAATTTAGTCAAAATGAAAATATTTACAGATAAACAAAAGCTGAAATAATCACTATAAGAAATATTAAAGGAAGTTTTTCAGACTAAAGGAAAACAATACCAGATAAAAAATTGATTCAGCCCAAAAGAGTGGAGATTGCTAGAATAGCAAAGTGTTAGCAAAGAGCTTTCCTTTCAAAATGCATTCTAAAACTGATTATTTAAAACAAGATAAACACAGTGTTTTGTGGAGTTAAATTGTGCATTGAAGTAAAATGGTTGTCAAAAGTAATACAAAGAACATAACAGAGTAAATATCATTGTAATTGTTTCCGTTATAGGATGACTGATATTAAATTAACTTGTGGTAGATGGTGATAAAATACAAATGTACATTGTAGTCCCTAGAGAAACTATAAAAATAAAGAATTATAGATAAAATACTGATAGAGGATATGAAATAAATGACTAAAAGTTAATTTAATTAAAAATCCTATAAATATGTATAGTTCTGCATACATTCCTATGGACTTACTTCAAAGGGTACGGTTTAAAAGCTTGCCATGGGACCCCAAATCCCCTTAAGCTGGGTGGTAAAAATGCCATCTTAAGTGTTAAAGTGATCATTTTTATAGGATTAAGTGTTAAAAGTGATCATATAAATAGGATTAAATGTCTGGTAATAATAATAGAATGAAAAAGGAGTGAATACTCCAACTCAAGATAAATAGAATGACAGTCACTTTAAGTAGCACTCTGACCTCAGAATCAGCCCTTAAAGCATTCTAGTCTGGCTAGAAAGCCCATGAAAGCATTTTAAGCATGGAAAGCTAAGACACTGTGGCAGAAAAATGTCCTACATGAAGGACTTTGGTGGGTGAGACCCCAGTGGAAAGTAGTGGTCATAAAGACGGAGGTACTTTTCTCTGAAGGGAGGAGAGAAATTCCACCTTGCTTATGGCCTTGTCTAAATACTAACATAGTTTGTGGATCCAAAAGGCTTCCATAGCGTAGGCAGCTCATGTAAAGAACCTCAAGTGATCACTGACATCATACATAAGAATGTGAATTATTAAATTAACAATAGGAGTCACTGTGCACTAACTTCCCATACAGAACCTCTGTCCTCAAAGAGTTTTATTATGAAAGTTAACTGTAAACCTTGTTCTCAAAGAAAAAAAGCAAGCAAAAAATCCTGGAAATAATTCAAAAGAAAAAAATCAGAGAAATAAAGACAAATAGCAAGATGGTAGACCTCACTCAGTCATATAAATAATCATGTTAAATGTAAGTGGACTAATCACTATAATTAAAAGTTGGAGTCTAGTTTTGAAAAGCAAGTCATAAACATATGTTGTTGATAAATAATATATTTTAAATATAAAAATATAGTCTTAGACACTCACATCCATTTTTGCTACATAAAAAAGTAAAAGGATAGAAATTTATATCCTGTGGCCAGTGTTGTGGCCTAGCAGATAAAACTGCTACCTGTGATGCCAACATCCTGTATGGGTGCCAGTTCAAGTCCAGGCTGCTTCACTTCCAATCCAGCTTCCTGCTAATGGCCTGGGAAAGCAGCAGAAGATGATCCAAGTGTTTGGGCCCCTGAATTCACATGAGAAACCAAGAAGAAGCTCCTGGCCTTGGCTTTGTCCAGCCCCAGCCATTGCAGCCCTTTGGGGAATGAACCAGCAGATGGAAGATCTCTTTCTTTCTGTCTCTCCTTCTCTCTGTGTAATTCTGTTCAAATAAATAAAATAAATTTTGAAAAAAAGAAAATTATATCCCTTTTAAACATGTTATAAGAAAACAGGATTATCTATATTAATGTCAGACTTCAAGATGAGTTGTATCAATAAATAAAGATATCTAATGAGTCAGCACAATAGTCCTCCATGTGTATACACCTAACAGAACTATATGTGTGTGTGTGTGTGTGTGTGTGTGTGTATGTATATATATATAAAATGGCAATTAAAAGGAAAAGCAGAAAAATCCAGATTTGGAAACATCAACACTCCAGTCTTAGTAACTTCTAGGAAAAGTAAATAAAATATTAGCACCAGAATATTTGAATGACTTAATTGATCATTTTAAACAATTTTTGACATTTACAGAATATGTAACACCAGCAGAATATAGAATTTTTTAAGAGTAAAGCTAAGCAACAAGATATAATACAACTAATTTCATGAAGCTGAGATAATACAATGTTCTCTGATGACACTGTAATTGAAATTAAAACTCACAAAGATTTATATCACAAAATTCCCAAATATTTGAAAGACAAACAATGTACTTTTTTTTAAAGATTTATTTATTTATTTGAAAGTCAGAGTTACACAGAGAGAAGAGACAGACAGAGAGAGAGAGAGAGAGAGAGGTCTTCCATCCGATGGTTCACTCCCCAATTGGCTGCAATGGCTGGAGCTGCACTGATCTGAAGCCAGGAGCTAGGAGCTTCTTCCAGGTCTCCCATGTGGGTGCAGGGGCCCAAGGACTTAGTCCATCTTCCACTGCTTTCCCAGGCCATAGTAGAGAGCTGGATCAGAAGAGGAGAAGCCAGGACTCGAACTGGCGCCCATATAGGATGCTGGTGTTTCATGCCAGGGCATTAACCCACTGCACCACAGCACCGGCCCCAGCAACGTACTTCAAAACCCATCAGTTAAATGAAAGAAATAAACCAGCATTTTAGCAGAATAGGTTAAGCTGCAGCTCATGATGCCAGTATCCCATATCCAATTGCCAGTTTGAATACTGGTTGCTCCACTTCCAACTTAGCTCTCTGCTAATGTGCCTGGGAAAGTGGCAGATGATGATCTGAGTACCCATGGCCCATGTGACACCCATGTGGTAAACTTGAATGGAGTTCCAGTATACTGACTTCAGCCCAGCCCAGCCCCAGCCATTGCAGCCATTTGTGGAGTGAACCCGCAAATGGAAGATCTCTGTTCTCCCCCAACCCCAACATCACTGTGCTTTCAAATACATAAATATTTTTATTGTAACTAGGTTAATTACGAAATAAATTAACTGAACAAAAACAAAAACATAACCTATATGAAACATTGGGGGTGCAAATTAAACAATGCATCAGGAAAATTCACAGCGCTAAAAGTTTATATTAGCAAAGAATAAAGGTTTAAAATCAGTGATCTAAACCGAGTTTGGTAAAGTGTGGCTCATGAGCATAGAATGGCTTTTTGCATTTTTCAAAGTCAGGAGAGGGGTGAGAGAAGAAGGAGGATGAGTGGAGGAGAAACCAGAGAGAGTGGGGAGGAAGAGGAGGCAGTTGCAACAGAGATCCTATGTGGCCAACATAGATTTAAATATTACTCTCTCACCCTTTCCAAAAACAAATAATAATAAATTGGTAACCCCTGACATAAGTCCCTACCTCAAGAAACTAGAAAAAGAAAAAGTAAAAGAAAAGAGGTGAGAGGAAAATCTATGGACTATTATTAAGATTAGGAAAATCAATGAAACCAAATATTGGTTCTTTGGAAAGATCAATAAAATTAGAAAGTCTTTAGCTGGACTAAAGAAGAAAAAAGATAAAATACAAATTATCAATACAAATTTATTCATAACATATAGCTTGTTTTTTTTTTTTACTCTATATGAAGGGTACTCCCTTTATTCCTACTAATTTTCAGTGTGTTAGATTCTGTCCTTTCTCCTCACCTAAGATAATTGTAGCTCACAGCGCTGCATTCAAGCTGTAACAGTGACATCATGCCATTGGCATTACCATGTTGTTTCCCCAAGTCACTGATGGAAATGTCGAAGGTATGATGTGAAGCGTTCAAAGATTGCAGACTCTGGGAGTGTACCCAGTGCACACCACATCTCAGTCTCCATGAAGTGGTAATAGGTAGTGTGTCTTTGCAGCTGGGCAGTGGCTCCTCCTGCAGGGCACATTTCCTGGAAGTGCCTCTGCACATACCTGGCTACTCCCAAACAAGTCCACCTGCCACTTTCTTAGCCTCCCATCTGCTCAGTTATGGTCTACAAGTCAAGGCTACAACCATCCTGAATTTTAGCTATTACTGTTCATGGCTTCCTTTAATACAACAAAAGAAAACAAACAAAAAACACAAAGGAAGAGATGAGAATCAGAGGGCACCGACTGAATTAGAGTTAATTATTATGGAACTGTGGCCTCTCTGGGAAGCACTCTCTGAACTAAGACTAAACAAATGTCCTAATTCTTACCCTCTCTTCAGCATCCTCCACTCTAGTGAAAGCAAGGATAGATTCGCTCTAAACACAAGTTTTAGTGCGACTCTTGCCTGATGTCCATCGTGTTTGTACTTGGCCAGGAACTTACTGCCAGCAGAGAGAGGTGGAAGCCATCATGGAGGGCGACGAGGACGACAGAGGCTGCTGCTGCTGTAAGCCAGGCCGCCTGCCCCATCTGCTGTCCTGCAACGCGGCGTTTCACCTTCGCTGGCTCACCTGGGAAATCATGAGAACCCAGTACATCCTGGAGGGCTACAGCATCATAGACAACAACGCAGCCACCATGCTGCAGGTGTTTGACCTCCGAAGGATCCTCATCCGATACTATGTCAAGGTATCGCTCTGCTTCCCAAACACTTGTATGAGAATGGTGGGCTTTGTAGAAAGCTGGACACTGATGCTCCTCCTCCACCTCTGAATTGGAGATGCAGCCCGGTTTGGTTCCCTACAAGGCTGTGCTGTAGACTACAGTTTTGTTCTAGCTCTAGACACCAGCAGACAATATATTTTCTTGTCTGGGTTTGTTTTTTCACTTCTATCACAGCAGGACCTGCCTGTGGTGATGGCGTTGACAAATTTAAACAGCCTAGGAGTAGTAATAAGCCTCAGTGTTTGGGTTATGTCAGATTAGATGCTCTGTTTTAGAACCAGAATTACGTTTTACATTCCTAATAAAAACTCAACAATACAGCTAAACAATCAAATCAGGATTAGCTGTTACAGCCTTGCCTCCTTGTACATGTGGAGACTGATAACACAGTTTTTCAGTTTCTCATTGCTCATGTCTGCCCCGCTTGTGTTCAACTCCAGAAAACGTGCCAGTTTGGCCTCAGTCTGCTGGAGAACAAGTGTGGGACTTGAACAAGGATGCAGATTGCTAACTGGGACTCAGATGTTTTTGGAAGGGGAAGGCAGCATGGCTGAGGAAGTCTTTGTAGTGCATCCTATTCTGGGTGAAGCCTTTGCATGGTGGAAACCCTGGATGGTCCACAGAGGGGTTCACATTTTAATGCTATTGCAGCAGAGGCTGCTCATCTACCGGGGAACCCCTGCATACTCTGCCAGCTAAGACTGAGAGAGGTAGTCTCACAGAAGTGAGGAAATCAGAATAAAAAGACAACCTGGGCACCTGAAGTTTCTCTCAGCTGTCTCAAAGTTAGAAATAGCCATCATGAAGATCCCTAGTATCTGCAACAGCTGCAGAGGTTTGCTGGAAATAGACTGTAAGAGTCACAAGGGTACATGACTCCAAGTTACCATCCCCAGAGGTAGACAACAGAGGTGATCACAACAGAAAATGCTATGACACCCTTTATGGGGGAAAAAGATGCATGACAGACTTAGCCATCCATATTCATCATTTTTTGTGATGCTAGAAAGAGGCAGACCTTGATATCCAAATTTCATACAAAACCATAAATATTTTTTCAGCCATACAGAAGTTGGGGAAGATTTGAGAAGCAAATATATTTCCCAGGCCATTGCAAATGAGACTATAAGAAGTTTCTCATACACTGTGTCAACTCTAGGCAAACTTGTTGGACCAACTGGGTGATATTTGGTGGGTCATGACCTAACAGTGATATACACTTGTTAGAAGTTCATTTCTCTCACACACACAGAGGAAGGCTGGTAGGGTAGTTCTGTCCCTATAAAGTACTCAAGGACCCAGCGTCTTGCCAGCTCAAGCTCCACCACTTGAAGTGCACTCCCCATCTTCAGGTTGTAAGATGTAAGTTCCAAGCTGAAAAGGAGGGAGGAAAGGATAAAGAAAATGATGACCAAGGGCATGTACTGGCTGCCCACAAATGATTCCTAGGGGTTGCCACAGTTTACTCCTGCTATGGCCTGTTGCCCACAGTGTTGTCACATATAATTGGGATGGACCCAGGGAAGGGGCCTGAAAAAGGTATTCTGAGCAGCAAGGAGCACATAGTGAAACTGTATGAGCATGATATAGGGAGAAGACAAGAGACAAACAGCTGCCAGTCATCTTTGTCACTTCCCTCATCAAGGACAGGAAGTGTACCTTGAATGTGTCCTTCAGTTCTCTGGAGGCAGCAGGATGCAGTGTTACAGGAAGGGCTGGATCCCGGGGCTGACTGGTCAAGGAGACACAGGGACCTGTTAGGCAAGTGGCCAGGAAGGAGCAGCGTGGGCCAACAGTGGGAGTCTAGACAGGACAGACGGATGGGCCCTGGAATTGATCATCCCCTGTTGCTTCAAGAATTGGGCTAGTAAAAGCATGGAGTACAGGAGGGACAGTCCCCACTGGAGGTAACCGAAAGCAGGTGAGGGTGCTCAGAGAAAGTCAAGCTGTGAGGAACGGAGCTAAGGTACTGAAGGGTCACATGAAAAATTCAGGTGCAGGGAGGCCAAAGGAAATGAAGGAGGTGAGACCTCGGGAGCAGAGCTTCCCAGGCACCTGGAGAGGGCAAACCACAGGGAAAGGACCAACCAATGGCCCCAGGGTGGGGAGAACCCTGGGAAAGTCACTCCCAAATGCAACACTCCTTTCAGTGCAAACAGTAGAGAAAGCCTGCAGGCCTTCCCTTCCCGAATGCACTCTTCCCAGCCCCACTGCATTGCCCACCTTTGGGAGAGGAACCCCGGAGTCATGCCCCAGGATGCAGCAACTCCCTGTGCACAAAGCAGCCCGGGGACATCCGTAGGAAATCATCTTAGTCTTGTTTGATCATGGCTGCTAGTTAGAAACTGGCAAGTCCTTCAGAGCTGGAACCACTTCCTTCGATTTGCATTGGACTGTAAATAAAATAGATCTGTCCTGTGTGCTTAATAAAGGTTTTTCTAAATCAGAAAAAAAAAAAATTCCTGCTAGACCCCTTTGTGTGCCGCTACAATGCCCCCTCCCCCCTCCCAGTTACTTCCAGCTGTTTTCTGTTCCCACTGCCTCTCTCACCACTTGACATGCACCTATAGACACGCACTCCCTGTGCTCCCTGCCTCCCAAGGCATGGCACGCTGCTGCTTCTGCTGCTTCTGCACTCACTCTCCTCTCACTCTGAGATGCCCACAACTTCCCTTCCAACTGCAGCTCAGACCGCAGCTCTTCTCCCATGCTGCCCAGGGTCCACACGTGGTGCTTACTTCCCTTCCTTGGCAAACCCTCCTGCTTCATGTAGTGCTAACTCCCAGGCAAAGGAGCCACACCTGACTCCTCTTTGGGACCCTCCCCCCAAAGCCCTGTGGGATGACTTGCTTATGGAAGTGCCCAGTGCATGTTGTGGACAGAATGGACAAAGCCTCCAGGTCATGTGGATTCCGAGTCTGGGCAGAAGAGATCCAGACCTGGGCAGGGGTTTGAATAGCCTGCTCCAGGCATGGTGCTGAGAACAAGGGTCAATATGAAGCCAAGCCTCTGACTCTGGAATAACCCATAAACAGCCTTTGCAGGGGCCGGGTATGTAATAGACAGACCTGCCTCCATCATGGGGCCAGCAGTTCACAACGAATGGTGGAGAAGGAAGAGGATGCGGGTGAGATGCCCTGTCTGGATCTGGCCTGATCCTCCCTCTGAGCTTTGCCAAAACTGAAGACTCCACACCTGGACCTGATTTTTTTTTTAAAGACTTACTCATTTATTTGAAAGGCAAAGTTACAGAGATAGAAAGAAATAGAGATCTTCCATTGGCTTGTTCACTACCCAAATGGCCATAACAGCCAGAACTGGGCTAGGCCAATGCCGGGAGCCAGGGGTTTTGTCTGGGTCTCCCACGTAGATGCAGGGCCTAAGTACTTAGGCCATCTTCTGCTGCTTTCCCAAGGCATGAGCTGGGAGCAGATGGAACATGAACCAGAGCCCATATGGGATGCCACCATCACAGGCAGCAGCTTTACCTGCTACACTACAACACCAGCCCTGGACCTGATTTTTGATACCTCCCTCTTGTGGACTTGTAGTTGATACTCATTTCTTCCTCTCCTAACTCCCGGAAACGTGCCTCTCAATGCCCTCTTCAGTTATCTAGGATGACAATTTGCCATCTGACACATAAATCCAGGATAATGGACAAAGGGAGGTTCCCAGAACCTCCCAAGTAATATGGGTGACTTGTGGGAAAACAGTGTCCTTAACTCTCTTCCCCAAGAAAGGAGGATGAAGGCAGACAGAGCTGCAGGAGTGGTAGGAGAGGCACTCTCTGATGTCTTCCACGGCACTTTTCACAAGCTGCGGCAGGCCGTGCACTCGGACTCCCTGGTTAGCTGAATAATTACAGATTGCTGTGTCCTATCAAGAAGTTCTGGTTCTGTACACCTGGGCTGAGGCCCAGTGATCTATATTTTTATCATGAGCTTCCTAAGTGACATGAAACATAACTAGGTTTGAGAACCACTACACACATATTTGTGCTCTATAGAAACAAGAGTTTTCTTAACTCCAAATTGCTGTTCAGGTGGGGCTGAGGTTTGGGCCCTCCCACTGCCTCCCTGTGTAATTCACACACAGGCAGGTGCATTCTGCGTGAGGCTGGCTGTCTAGGTGCGGCACCCTGCCCTGCAGTGAGGGAAGGCTCAGAGCTTGCCCTCACTCCCCCTGCTGCAGCCAGGTAGGGAGGATTTCAGGAGGGCTGACTGGCCACTAGCACCAAAGAGTTGGCATTTTGGGGTGAAGAACCAATGTATCTTGCCTTCTTCAGCCTCCATTGCTTGAGGGACAAAGCAAAGCCTTTGTAGCTCTGAATTACTTCAAGTTTCCAGAGTTCAGCCTTGTTCTTTTTATTATTTGCTAATTACATTGGAAAATGGGAAAGGAAGAAAAATTTGAGATAATTCCTTTACACAAAAGGATTTTTTAAAAATCTCCTAACAAACTGGGTCAATTCCCCCACCTTCTGAATATATTTGAAATCATTTCCTTCCCAATGACTAGTGGTTTTCCCTGGTGTCTCCTCCCTCTCTCCTCAATTTATGAGTGCGGAAGACCCTTTTACCCATCAAGGAACCAGTTTAATGTGGGGGCCTGGTTTTCCCGCTGCCATTGTTTCTGGGCAGCTCCCTGAGAGAGAAGATGCGCTTATCACCTGCATGGCAGAGCAGGGAGTGAGAAAACCCCACATGTGGGCCTGCCAGCCAGGCCCCGTTTCTGGAATGAGTTGTCTGATAGAAGATGCTGATCTACAATTAAAATGAGAAACCAGGAGGAGCCCTGCTGGAGGAGCCTGATACTGTGAATTTAATTCAGGAGACGTTCTGCTCACAGTGCGGTTCAGGTTTACAAAGTCAATTCATTTTCAGCATCTTGACTTCTCCACTGTGCTTAGTATCGGATCCATGTCATCCTGACAGCTCACTGGCTGTCTCCAGGACAGAATTCCTGCCCAGATAAAGTGAAGGTGGGGTCTGGCTGGCAGCTGATGGGGCAGGTGCTGTGAGAGGGCTGGAGCTATGCTGCGAATTGTGTGCTGAAGTCAACGCCAGGGCTACAAGAGGAGGGAGTTTTAACCTCTGGAATTCAAAGTCCTCATTAACCATTCTGACTTCATCCGTTATGGAGTTGTGGGGTTGTTTTTAATTCTTCCCTAGAAATGAATGAAAAGGTAAACTTTTGTCTTTTGATTTTTGTTTGTTTTTCCTATCTGATACGCAATTAGTATATACTGGGGGAAACTAGACCAGATGTTTGCTGGAGCCAGATGTTTAGAGAGATCAAATTTCTTTCTTTTCTCTTTGTCATGCTTAGCTGAGAAGCAGTGCCTGTGACCAGGGGCACAGACCTTGGGCATCATTACAGTAGCCCCCAACCCTGCCCTCTTATCCCCAGGATTGATTCCCAATGGATGAAACCGTGAATAATGCCACACCCTTTATATACTGTTTTTTTTTTCTGCACATACATAACTATGATAAAATTTAATTTGTAAACTAGGCACAGTAAAATTTAACAAGAATAATAATGAAAGAGAACCATTAGCGGGTAGGTGTTTCACCTCCTGGTTCAGATGCTGATTAAGACACCCACATTTTATACTGGAGTGCCTGGGTTTGATTCCTGGCTCCGCTTCCTGCTTCCAGCTTCCTGCTAATGCAGACCCTGGAAAATAGCAATGATGGCTCAAATAGTTGGGTCCCTGCCACCTATGTGATGGGACACCTGGATTAAATACTAGTTCCCAGTTTTGCTGAGGCCCAATCTTGGACATCATGGACATTTGGAGAATGAACCAGTGGTTGGGATGGGAGTATCTCTCTCTCTCTAATTAGTAAATAATTTTTTAAAAAGTAGAACAATGATTAACAATGTACTCTATAAAAATTATATGAATGTGAATGTGATCTCTCACACACATAATATTATACTGTAGATCTTAGCAATGTTATCATGTAATATTTTTACTTTCCTAAAATTGAGAATTGTCACTTTTTCACTTACAGGAAGCACTTTATGACTTCTCTTTGGCATATCTGAATTGCCAGGATCACTACCCTTTCTCTTTGGGGCCAGTATTAAATAAAATTTAGTTGAATGCAAGCACCTCAATGCTGAGACAGTCTGGTAACTCAGAAGGCTACTAAATGACTAACGGGCTAGCAGTGGATTCAGCCTGTTCACACCCTGGGTGGGACACAGGCAGGCAGTGGATACAGCGTGTTCACACCCTGGGTAGCACAGAGCAAAATGGCACACAATTTCATCACACTCATGAGAACGGCTTCCAATTCTAAATTTACAGACTGTTTATTTCTGGAATTTTCCATTTAATATTCAGCCCGTGGTTGGCCATGGGTGGTGACCACCGTGTTCTCTTTGGCTCTCAACTTTGGGCCAACTACTTAAAGTGTCTGCCTCACAGAAGCTGTCAGTGATCCAGTCGAGAGAAACCTTTTGCAGATTCAGAATGTGCATTCTGGAATGTCACATGTGACTCTGATGGCCACCACAGCCGCAGCTGTCTCATGTCCCCAATGCCATCCCCGTTCCCTCACCCCTCTGCTTCAACCTCTCCTGGGCTTCTGCTACTGCTGCTGCTGGCTGCCTCCCCCGAGCCTCACACACATCCTACTTGCTGCGTAGGTAAGTCACAGATGCCAACAACATGACTGTTTGAACTGTTTCTCGCATATGTGCCATGTGCTAAGTTCTTCACAAGCCTCATCTCAGTTTAACCTCAACAGATGCCAAGTGGACATCATTAGTGCTTCTGTCTTTCTCACCTCCTGCTTCCAGCTGTGTTTGGCCACTTATCCTAAACCTCCTGCCCCTTTCTTCCTCCCTGTACTGCAGGAATTTCTTAAGGCCCACATGGTTATCCTGGAGTGCAGGGTTACAGAGAGTCAGAGAACACACACACTGCTTAATTTTAGTGGCTTTCTACAGACTTCATTTTTCTTTCTTGCCCATTTTGGGAGCCTAATAGAAAATACGCCCAAGGAAGAAAGGCCATACACCAGTAGCCACAGATTAGCTTTTCCCAAGTCTGGGCTGTCTTCACTCTTAACAATAGAGAGAGGCCTCCTCAGGGGTTTGCAGTCCTTTCTCTGAAATCAGAGATGACAGGAGGCCCTCCGCTCAGCTCCTCAGACCCTGAAGTAACTTGACACCAGACACCTCTGCAACCTGACCCTCAGCTCTGCATTTCATTTCCCAGCCCAGGGAAAGGGAGGGCAGGAGAGCCAGGGATTCTGTGCCCTCTCTGCAGGCATCAGTCCCTGAAGCCTTTGTCCCCAGCCCTCTGGTATTCATTACGTTCTGTCCTCCCACTTGGGAAGAATGTGTTTCTATAAACAGAGAAGGCTATCAATTAAGTGCTTGCTTCCACTGGGAGCACGCATCCCTGCCTTGGAGCATGGAGCGCTGCTTCCCCTCGCCCCTCATGCTTTCAGGATGAGATGCACGGCCACGCTCCCGGGGTCGCCCTGAGCGCCACCGCCATGTTTCTGTTACAATGAAAACGCTGCGCCTGTTGTGTGGCACTCTGGAGTAGCAGACTGATCTGCTGCTGACGCGCCACGCTGGGCGTGGATGTTCATTTTCTCTGTCACATTTACACTTCTCAAGGTCAGGTGCAGGCCTGTTTGGAGGGTGAATTCATTCAAAAACTACACAATGGCCTTCAATAATGCTGTGACTCAGAATAGTAAGTCCTGAGGAGGAGGGTGAGTTTTCCCCCCGTAAGTACAGCGTCTGATTAGGGAGAAAACGGGTTATCTTGGAGCATGTCACAGATGTTCACTGTCTGGGCACCCGGGATCAATTTCACATCATCACTACTCTCCATAAGCAGGGAGTTGTTTTCGAGCATTAAATCCTCCTTGACTGGAGCCTGGAGGAGGCTCTGTCCACTCTCAGCTGCAGCAGCCTAGCCTGGCATCCACAGATTGCTGCAGTCCACCACACAAAGGGCGGGCCTGTGCCCCTCTCGGGAAGGAAAGGGCAGCCTACCATTCTTCCTCATCATGAGATCTGTGCGGTGACATTCTATCAGCATCATTCCCTGCTCATTTTCTTCTTCCTTGCAGTGACCCTTAAGGGAGGACATTTTAGAGTGTCTCAGTGGGGTTGGTTTGATACATTGAGCCTAGAAAGAAGAACAAATAGTAACACATGTGGAGATTTTGTATTCTATTTTCCTGGGATTGATTTGACATATTAATAATAATAATATAATAATAATAAACCTTCCTGGCTTTCAAATAAGTGCAGGAGCTCAAAATCTTGATATCTCTCTCTCCCTGCAGAGTATAATATTCTATATGGTAACATCCCCCAAAATCCTCTCCTGGATCAAAAATGAATCACTTCTGAAGTCCCTTCAGCCCTTTGCCAAGTGGCATTACATCGAGCGTGACCTCGCAATGTTCAACATTAACATTGATGATGACTACGTCCCGTGTCTCCAGGGGATAACACGAGCTAGCTTCTGCAACGTTTATCTAGAATGGATTCAGTATTGTGCACAGAAAAGACAAGAGGTAGGTAAAGGAGGTGGAGACTGGTGGAGAGAAATTTAAGTTGTTGTTGTTGTTGTTGTTGTTGTTGTTGTTTGACAGGCAGAGTGGACAGTGAGAGAGAGACAGAGAGAAAGGTCTTCCTTCCGTTGGTTCACCCCCTAATGGCCGCTGCGGCCAGTGCGCTGCGACCGGCGCACCGTGCTGATCCAAAGCCAGGAGCCAGGTGCTTCCTCCTGGTCTCCCATGCGGGTGCAGGGCCCAAGGACCTGGGCCATCCCACTGCACTCCTGGGCCACAGCAGAGAGCTGGACTGGAAGAGGAGCAACCGGGACAGAATCTGGCCCCCGACCGGGACTAGTACCCAGTGTGCCAGCACCGCAGGCGGAGGATGAGCCTATTGAGCCATGGTGCCAGCAAGAAATTTAAGTTTTAAAAACAAGGAACACTCAACAGTCCATCTCTTTATACCCTATGGCAGACTATAATAAAATAGAGGATAAATGATTAACACTTAAGAATTAATATAACATTTTTCTGATGAGGAGCCTTGCAGGTTTGTGTCCCCTTCCAGGGGAGGGGAACCTTTGTTTCTGCCATGGGCGTCTGGCTATTTATAACATTATTTGCGGGCCATGCAACATTATCAACTTGAAAAATAGCCTGCTATAGATTTATTGAATTTTGAGTCCCACCTGGAGTTGCCTTGCCAGGGCCAGGCCAAATGATTTTGCTGGCCTTATACAGCCTGCAGGCTGGATGTTCCCCCTCCTGCTTATAATGTGTTCACAGCCAGTGCACTTTTAAACACCTACAATAGCTTTCGAACATTGGAAACTTCTTTAAAATTGCCTTTTGAGATTGTCGTACCATGCATATAAGAGATCTTAAAACTACACATGGCTTTATTTTTTTTTTTTTACCTTTAGAATAAACTTATCTTTTAATTCTATTTTCCATGGACTTTATAAAATCCTTGTAACTATGCTGATACCAGGCAGATTTCGTACTGGACCATGGAGAAGCAAATTCCATTCGCTCCAGCTTATTTCCATAGCTGTTATTTTCCTGCGCTGTTATTGCTCGTGGACTGAGGAACCTTCTTGAGGAGGATCCTGTTTCTTAGAAATGAAGCCAAGGGCGGCCGGTGCTGTGGCACAGTGGATTAACACCCTGGCCTGAATCGTCGGCATCCCATATGGGCGCCGGTTCAAGACCTGGCTGCTCCACTTCCAATTCAGCTCTCTGCTGTGGCCTGGGAAAGCAGTGGAAGATGGCCCAAGTGCTTGGGCCCCTGCATCCACGCAAGAGACCTGGAAGAAGCTCCTGGCTCCTGGCTTTGGATGGGTGCAGCTCCAGGCATTGCAGCCAATTGGGGAGTGAACCACTGGATGGAAGACTTCTCTCTCTCACTCGCTGCCTCTCCTCTCTCTGTGTAACTCTGACTTTCAAATAAATAAATAAATCTTAAAAAAAAAAAGATTTAAAATAATTAAAAAATTAAAAAAAAGAAATGAAGCCAAGGACAATGAGAGCACACAAAGACAGAAGAGGCAAGGTGGGGGGAGAAAGGAGATACAGGTGAACGAAGGGAGTTGGTTTGCTTCTCTGGATTTGGAAAGCTGAGTCAATGGATGTGGATAGAGAAAGTGGGTCCAAGTTGGAAACAACTTCCTCAGTCGCTGCTGAAGTATGCACAATGATCTACAGGGAGGAAATCAAGCTGTGACACTAGCACAGGTCCTGGACTTCATTATGAGTGATTCTAAGCAGGTGGCAGAAACTGCAAGTGGCAGAAGCTGCTTTCTCCAGACAGAGCAAGGAGAAAATGCTGATCGTATTCAGCCATGCTTAGCCTCTTCCAGGGGTTGAGATGGCCAGAGAACCTACTGATACGCTTGGCTCCCTAATGAGAACTCCCTCCTCAGTTGGTTCATGAAAGGTCTTTTTCTTGCAAAAGATATTTTGACTTTAAATTTCTTTTGCATCTCCCCTCCCAGCCATTTTTTCAGAGCTGACTTTGAATGCTTCTTTTAATTTAGCTGTTACTGTGGATTTATGATCAATTCAAAGGGCCCCTCATTTTAAAGAGAACCAAAGATCGCACTGGATTCCTGTACTTTTTCTCTGCCTGCTAGATTGCACATCTCCCCTTGCATTTCGTAGTACTAAGGTGAGCACATGTTTGAAGATCCCCTGAAATTCCAGGAAATCAGTTAAACCACATCTTGTCCCCTTTTCTTTGCAAAAGTATCTTTCCCATTTTTTTCCCCATGTCCAGCCATAACAGAAACTGTCTCAGGAGCAGAAGGTTAGCTCCCGCTCTCTGAGGCCAGTTGAAAGGGCACGCGATGACCACAATGGATGACCAAGAAATCCTCTTCTACTTTTACATATGTGAGTCTGTATTGGTACCTACTGGAACATATTTGAAAGCTGAGTTATTTGTCCTTGCTCTTTCAGCCTTCAAAGACCCTGGACTGTGACGAGGACTCTCCTTTGGTGACTCTGTCCTTTGCACTGTGCATCCTGGGGAGAAGAGCTCTGGGAACTGCAGCTCACAATATGGCCATCAGGTACCTGGGAAGACAGGTGGGATGCCTTGGACTAGTCTAGGCACTCACATTTTGTCTTTTTGACAGATTTTTTTCAATCATCTTCTACTTCCACTTCTTTCAGATATTCTTTCCATGATAAATCATGTTGGGACTTTTTTCTTTCTTTCTTTTTTTTTTTTTTTTTTTTTGGATCACTGTGATCTTTTCAAATGTTAGATTTGGAAATATCATTACTATTGAACAGTCAGGACCCAAGGATTCTGAGTATAAAGCCCTCTGTCTTACAAGTGTCCTTGTGAATTTGCTGGGAAGAATTAATAACTTTATGCATATAAAATGTTTGCCTTGTACCCGGAGAAACTGATGCCCAATGAATGTTAGTTCCCTTTCCCTGTTTTTCTTCACAAAAGAATTCCTCACATGTAATCCAGACCTTCCACTGTCCTATCTCTGTGGGGCTTTGATTAATTGCCTGCCTCTTTTCCTATTTTTTGAACTGTTTCTGCAGAATCTTACGCATCTGTACATAAATAGCTCAGATATCTCTTCATACAGCACAAGAATTAAGCCCCCTCCTGTCCCTTCGTTACCCTCTGTCACTCATGGGGTGTCTTTCACAAGTGAAAAGGTACTTGTGCTCCCTGCTGCCACACTGCATCTGAAGCAGCTCCTAGCTCTGCAGCCCAGCTGCTCTGATTAATTTCATCCATCATCTTCAAACCACTTCCATCAGTGGTTCTCATCCCTACATGCACATGAAAATCTCCTGGGAGCTTTTACCACTTCCATCAGTGGTTCTCATCCCTACATGCACATGAAAATCTCCTGGGAGCTTTTACATATCCTGATGCCCTGCCTTTCCTGTCCAGACCAATTCCATCAGAACATCTGTGGGTGGGAACACATATCATGACTTTGCCAAACTCACCCAGTGATTTCAATACATACCAAGACTGAGAACCATATCATGGAACAAGGGAGCTTGAAAAAGAGAGGGTTCCTTTATTTAACTTTCCCCTCTACCTAGATTTTCTTCAATATTTCTGCACTATATTATTGCAAAAATGGTTCTTCTTATATTAGACTTGAATAGGTTTTATGCTATTATAATGGATTATAAAACTGTAAAAGACAAAACCTACCTATTTATGTATTTATCTGATTGCACGGCCTCATGACTCTGGGACATCAGATAAACAAGCCTAAGGAGACTTGTTGTCCACTGTTTCCAAATGCCTTTCCTGAAGAGGGTTTCTGTGAGTCATTACTGGTGGTAAGGTGTCAAGAGGTATCATTGATTGTAAGTTCTGAGTTGTAAGTGGTGAAGTGTTATGACGGGCAGCAATTTCTGTTTCTCTCTGGAGACAGTAGCCTGGGGTCCCCAGGATGGAAAGGAAAGATCCAAAGGTAGTTAGAATTTGTGACATTAGCTGCTCTTTCAACTCCATCTTGGACTTGTGTGATTTTCTTCACAGGGAAGAAATGTTCAATGTCTGATCCTGAACATATCTTTTTAGCACCTGTGGCTGGCATGTTCTCTAGGGAGGAGCTGACTTACCTTCAGCCCCTCTCCTCCTACCTGGCTCAGCCTCACCAAGGACCCAGGCCAGTTCCTCTGAGACCATATGGGACTAAATCTGATGATTTCTGGGAGTCCAGCAGAAGATCCATTCATGGGCTGTGTAAAACAGGATAAGGCGGCCCTTAGAATGGGCTTCTTATTGAACTATAGAGAATGATGTTTGAGAAGGGCTTTGTAGGCTCTTGTACTTGAGTCACAAGATGAGACTGCATAGCACTGGGGCAGGTTGTTAAAATACTTAGAAAGATCTCTTGTTTAGTCTATTTGAAGTGTTTCATAAATTTCAAATTTTCCTTACAAGTTGGAAATAAGTGTTGCAAATATTATTTCCAATTCCATCTAAGATATATTTTCAAAGACTTCTTTAGTTTTATTTGTTGTGTTACTTGTTCAACTATTCCTGATTCAGTGAATCTTCATGGGTCCATTTGATTTCTTTCTCCTGGATTAAGTACCCGCTGCTTTTTTAAAATGTTATTTTGATGGGATCTTTGTTTCAAATAGTTTCTCCGACTCTATGTCTGCCCTACTCGATGTGAACATAATGATGCGGTAACTCTCGGAAGAATTTAGGAAAAGACTCAATCATCTGAGATTAGTTCAGGATACTGAGAGATCCCACAGCACAGCAAAATCCTATCAGGCACTTTATTTTCCATCCTCAGTCTGTGAAAAGCATCCTCTTTACAGTCTGCCCTAGGCCGATGGTTGGAGTCAGAAGTCCATGAAGGTCTGATTTGGTTGCACAGACCTGGGGATGTAGAGGGGCAGCACTGACCGAAGCTGGAGTCTGGCAGAGCCCCCGCCCCTCTTGAACCAAACAGCTGTGCCTGATATTTCATATACTAGGTTTCTGTAAATGATTTTGCTTAGAAAAAATATTGCCAGAGCCCAAAAAACCTTCAAGACATAATTTTTATAGATACAGTCCAATTACTCTCCAAAGAAAGCTATCCTGATTTGTACTCTCATTATACCCTCACCTCTCCTGGGTAGTCTAACCTTTTAAAATTTTTCTAGACTCATGGTTGCAAATTATATCATTTTCATTTAAATTTGCATTTCTGTTATTAATACTGAGGTACTGGTCATTTATATTTTTTCAGTGTGTTGCCCATTTACATGCTATACTCATTGTTATCTAATATTTGGAAGTATTCAAGTAGGAAGATATTAACCTCTGTTATAAGTGTTAAAAATTTTTTCTGCCAAGCTGCATTTGTCTTTTATTTTTACTTATGACACCTTTTTAAATCTTTTATTTATAATTTTTGGATTTTGTGTCTTTCTCGTGATACAGAAATCTGCATACTAGCCTTTGTTTTCTCCTGATAGTTCTGTTTTATTTCTTTACGTTTAATTTTTGAATCCTGATGGACCTGTCTGGGATTTGATTTTACCCTACTTGTTAACTAATTAGCTAGCTTTTTACTGTTTCATGGATTCTGGCAGAGGACAATGAGATTTCTGGGTCAGAGACAAAGGGCTTTATTTCTCACAATACAGCAAACATTATGAGCATCCTAGTATTTGTCTAAGTTCTTTTGTCCCCAAAGTTCATGGGGGTGACACAGAGTGCCTGTTCTATATTATAGCAGAACACTGACCTAGGGGAACCTGCTGCTTTATAACAGAGGGAGATGTTACCTTATGCCTTATGATAATTTAGTCTAATTACCTCAAACTCCACCCTGAGCGTCAGCCTGAGCCTTGCCTTGTTGGTAGACACAGCAGGATGCATCAGAGAATGAAGGACTCATAGAGCTCTGCCTCCCAGTGAGTCCACGTAGGGCATATTTCTGTGCACTATAGGAAAAGTAGATAGAGATTCAATATTTTCCTAAGAGGGTAGCTGATAGTCCTACATCATTTGCTAAGTAGCTCATCATTAGTAAGTAAAAATTATCAGTGGTTTGAAACATTACTTTTTCATTTACAGTCACGTGCCACATCTGACATTTCAGTCCAGTGGTCTCTTAAGTTTATAATACAGCTGAAAAATCCCTACTGCCTAGAAAGAATGGAGTCATCTTTTTGGGTAGCACAATGCATTACTCATGTGCTTGTGGCAATACTGGTGCAAAAGAACCTACTGGGCTGTCTATGATATGCAAGGATGGCCCATACATTACTTTTTGATGCACAGTACTTGACAGCAATAATAAATGAGAGTGTTACTGGTTCATATATTTACTATACTGCAATTTTTGTCATTATTTTAGGGTGTATTCCTCTTACTTATAAACACTGTTTGCTGTAAAACAGTATGCCACATCATGCCAGCACAGCCTCACACATCTCATGTTTACCACATGTCTTAATTGCATCAAGAGAGCACATTGAGGGAATGAGCTAAACTGCCTAGGTTTGGGTAAGTATACTCTTTGATGCTTGCACAATGACAAAAACCTCCTAACAACACATCTCTCAAATATGTCCCCACCATGAGGCAACATGTAACCATGCTACTTTCCCATACATAAATAGTGTGCTCCTGGATTTACACTTCCGTGTAAGTGATCAATTTGTCTATTCTTACCGTGGTATCATGTTTGGTTTGCTGGAGTGAAACAAACACTGTTTTGACATCTGAAAAGTCCCCTTGTCTTCATTTTTGTTATGTCTTTTATAGTTTTGTCACCAGATGCTGTGCACATATATTTCTCCTCAAGTGAAATTCTGTAAAACCTCTGTTGGAATTTTGATTAAGATTGTACTGAATATACAGATTCATTTGAGAAGATAAAATCAATCCTATTTAATAATGTGATATATCTTTCAGATCATTCAATTTTTTAAAAAAATGTCCTTCAGTAAAATTTTCTCTCATTTTGTTTTTTAGAGATTTGTAATTTCTTGATGCGTTTATTTCTGTTTATTTTATAGGTCTATTGTGAATGTGAATAGAACTGTTTTTCATGTCACATTCTCTTGTGACAGGAAAGTTATATAATATTTTTATATTGATCTCGTTCTGGGCACTTCTATTCAATTCTGTATTTACAACAATAATATTTCAGTTAACTTCTTTTTTATGTTTTTGATAGAAAGACATATCTGAAAATAATGACAATTTTGACTTTTTTCTCTCTGGTACTCACAACTCAGTTCTTTCTGTTAGTACATTGGCTATGACCTCCAGAGCGATGCTGCAGGTTGGCATCAGTCTTAGTTTCTTCTTACTGTAGAAGATTATCAGAAATGTCATGATGTAAAGCTGTCTGGATACATTGTTTTTCAGTCTTTGGAGGTCAGAATCCCAAAATGGGGTTCACAAAGCTAAGGCTGGGGTCTTCCCAGCTGTGCTCTTTCTGGGGGCTCTGAAGGGAGAATCCATTCCCCGCTCTAGCGGCTGCCTCTCCACCTTCACGCCAGCAGCATTGTACTGACGCAAAAACTGCCCCTACAGCCTCCCGCTAAAGACCCTGACTATTAC